CATGTGATGGAATTGGTGGAACATTTAAGAGAATGGCCGCACGTGCCAGTCTCCAATTGCCTGTGGATCGCCAAATAACAACTCCATTTGAACTTTTCACATGGGCAACTCAGCCAAATAACTTGCCAAATATTACGATTAAATTTTCACCCTCAGATGATTATACTGTTGCAAATGAAAATTTGGCGACTCGATTTGCAAAAACAAAATCCATCGTAGGAACTCAAAAAGTTCATTGTGTTATACCTGACAATAATGGTTGTCTCTTAGTTAAAGATTATTCAAGCTCTACAGAATCTAAACTGTGTAAAATATTAAAACGTTCAAGAAAATAAATTTCTTTATGAGTTTAAAAATTATTGCATTTGAGACATTATAATCATATATTAATTAATGTTTATTTCAATGCCTACCATTTATTAAGCAATAAATAAAAAAACAATTATTTTTCAATTTTCCTTGTTTTTAAAAAAAATTATTTTTCTCGATGATTAACATGTTCAACTTTTGGTTCTATACCAATCGTATTGGAAATACGACAAAAGAAAAAAATTTTTTTTTTTAATTGAAAAGAAAAAATAGAAATCGGAAAAACACCTTTCTGGAAATTTCATGATATCTGTAAAAAAATGTCAAAGTTTAGAATGAGAAAAAGAAAAAAGAAACTAAAAATGGTATTCATCAAAAAATTCGGAGTTTTTTCTAAAAATTTTAAAACTAACGATGAAGATAGCTTTAAAGAATTTTTTTATATTTTTTTCCAAAAAGAACATTTAATAACAAAAATTTTGAAAAAAAAAAACGTCCCGATAAGCCAATTTTTGAAAAAGTTATGGCAATTTAAAAATAAAAAAGCGGTTTTTTTGAAAAATTCGGAACTTTTTTTTGGTTGGGTAAAAAAATTTGAAAAAATTATGAGAGACGTTTTTGATAGGGTAGAAAAGAATGATAAACTTTCAGCCAAATCAAAAGGGGTCAGGGTCAAAAGTGGTTGATTTGACGTGGAATGCCCCATATATATTTATATAAATTCGATAGAATATTTATCCTTGAAAGATTTTTGCAAATGTTATCTTAAGAAAAGCCCTCTGGCGACTTGAGGGATTGATAAAAAATGTCTTAATATCTTTTGTCAGTTATTTAGACAGAAAATCTGTAAAAAGTAAACTGCGGCGGTAAAAAAAAGGGCTGTATCTTTTTGTGTTGTAGCTTCCTGTCGGTACAGCAAAAGCCCCTATTTAACAGGACTGGCATATTTAACACATTGAGTATGGTAATATCGGGTGTGGAGTAAAAAAGTTTAAAAATAGTACGAATAAAATAAAATAAAAAGGAAAAAAGGGTAACGACGTGAACGTGTTATTATGCAATAACTCGAGAGTGGGTTGTCCGAGGCGTTGGAACGCGTGAGATCAGGGGCGCCACTGTTGGCTTCTAAAAAAACTCTATTTTAAAGTTCCGGATTCTAATCCTCAACGTCTTTATTATCACATAACACATTGACGGGCCAGACGGTGCTTGTGAATATGTATGTTCATGTCAGTATTACCATATATTCCATCAATATCATTACAAGCGCGAGAGATATTATATTTTTAAAAATAAATTATTTTTACGATCGTTTTAATTTAAAATTGTGAGATTAATATCAAAGATAGACAGAACAAAAGGTTCACTTATTGAGCCAAGAAAATATTTTTCTACCTAATTATTTTCTTGAGCGAAAAAAAAATTTTTATTGACAAGAAATTTCACTTATTCCAACAAAATTAATTTTTTTGATTTAAGAAATACGTATCCTGATCCAAGAAAATTTATTTAAGTCAAGAAAATCTTATTGTTTTGAGAAAATTCAGCCTCTTGCTCCAAAAAATTTAGTTCTTGATAGAAGTTAATTTTTTTGTCTTGAGAAAATTTCTCTCTTGCTCCAAAAAATTAAATATAATGATAGAAGTTAATTTTCATTAATATTTTTATTGATTAACATGTCAAATGGGAAGATCAAATAATATTTCATCATTTTTTTTCATTCAATATGTATAATTACACGGTAAAATAATATAAAATGAGTATCAAATATTCTCGAGAAAAATTTTCTCAAGGTGAGAAAATTTTTTTTCTCAGCTGAAGTAGGTGGCGCTGCTTCCCTAAAGTATCTAAAAATCTTCATCAAATATACAGAAAAAAGTAAACTGTAATAATAAATAACAGTCGATTTATAATAAGTAATGATTAATGATGAACTGCTAAAAATTACCATTTCAAACAGTAAAATCGTGATTTTACTATTCAATTTATAATATTTACAATTTAAACGTTACAATTTACTCTTTACATGGAAGAAAATACTATTTCAAACAGTAATATTAGCTATGTAAATGTCTAAAATGTTTAAGTATAATAATTAAGAATTCAGACTTTGATATTTATCATTTGGTACCTAAAAAATGATCTTATGATATGTAAAAAGTATAAAATAAAGTTAGTAAATTTCTAATACAAGCAACGTCAATATTTACAAAATAAAATGGTAAATTTTGAACGCAACGCTAAAAATCAAACTGTAATTATTGACTTGTTTGGACTGGTAAAATGTATATTTTAAAAGTATAATTTTTACTGTTTGAAATGTTAAATTCTCCCAGAGTGAGACCCCCTTCTCTTTCATCTGAGTTCCCCTTCTCCTCATAGTTTGGACTATATATTGAAATGGCAATTTTTACTGTTTGAAACTGTAATTTTTTAAGATGAAAGAGTCTTTGTTTACTATAGTGACAGCTACTAATCACTTATTTTGGATATTAAATTATAAATTGTGGATTTTATACTTTCTACAATAAGTTCTGTAATATTTATATTTTTGCCACCCCGATGTCCGCTTTACTGTTTGAAACTATGAAAATTAACCGGAATCCGAGTGAATATTACAGTTTACTTTTTTCCGTGTATAAAAATTTATTGTATCAAGTATTTATGATAGAATTAAGAAAAAATGACTTCCACCAAGAATAGAATTTAAAGAAAAATTTTAACTTCGGCCATCACAACTTCGGTCTTCCTTCAGACACCCAACAAATTTTCTTCAGCCAAGAATTTTGTTCTCCAGTCAAGAAATTTTTCTTTCTTTGTCCGAAAAAAATCATCACTTTTTTATAGATAATTTAATTCTCTATAAAAAAAAAATAATTTAACTAAATAATAGAAAAATAATTTTTTATAACCCGAAAAAGAAATTTATAAAATTTAATTTTGAAATATTGGGTTGAATATTAAAAATATGAAAAACTCATAAGATAATATTAAAAAAGTATAATTATTAATGATTTTAATTGAAAGTGAATATTTCTATCTTTAAATCTTCGACTCTGTAATTTAAATAAAAAATGATCAATAGTCGGCTTTGTATAATAAAATGTCAAAGTAAAATAGTAATTTAAAAATGAGATAAATGTTCGCGGTAGAAAATATCCTTGGAAGGTGATAAGACATAAAAGTAAACTCCTTCAAAAAAGGCTAAACGGTTGAATGTGTGGTCCCGCATCTGGCGGTACTCCAAATTCTCTCAAGGGTTCACGACATTCAGATCGTAAGTCACCAGCAACGGGACGGTTCAATAATTAACTTTGCGGAATCGGTTATCGGTGAGGAAAGTTTATTCCAGGACGGGAACAAGGACGATATGGGTAATAGTGTCGAGTTGAAAGTCTCCGGTGAGAGAAACCCCGAGCTTATTTATAAGATTCAATTTGGATGTACTCGTTTTATTTAAAAATAATAATAAAAATAGAATTAAAAGTATTTCGGGAATAATGCTTTCAGTTCCGGAGCGTTAAGCTCTATACCGTCTTTATACATAATGGGCATGCTCTTCCGCAAAACTGTGAAAAGGGGAAAATCCGTAATCGCTACAATTTATGGTTTCTTTTCTTCGCTTGCTTGTACGACCACCATTATTATTATTATTATGATTATTATTACTCTGCCAGTACGAGGGATATTACAATGTTTTTTTTTAACTGAACCCGCATTTTTTCACTTTAATATCAACTTAATCATTATTTTATTGCTTCCAGAGTAGGAAAATTTTTAATGGAAAAACAATGCATTAATAGAATTATTTTTTATGATTAAAATATTTATTTAAAAATTAATAAAATTTTTTCCTCTTTATATATATATATATATATATATAATATATATGAAAAATTGATGTGAGTACTCAAATGAAAGGTCTCGATAAGTGTAACATCAGGATGAGCTTATATGTTTAAAAATGTCATTAGTTCTCAAAATACAGGGTCATTTCTTAATTAATGATATTTTTTAGGATATAAGCTCACTTTGATGTTACACTCATCGAGATCTTTTATTTGAGCACCCATATGCATTTTTGATATATTTTTCATATATACATATATGTAATATATAAATATAAATATATGAAATATATGAAAAATTGATGTGGGTACTCAAATGAAAGGTCTTGATGAGTGTAATGTCGAGGATGAGCTTATATCTTTAAAAATGTCCAAAGTTCACAAGATACAAGATCATTTCATAATTATTGACATTTTTAAAGATATAAGCTCATCAAAATCTTAGTACAAAATTTTGCTTATTCTCTTATTAATATAGATGATTAATTCAAAATTGCAGTGGATTAATTACAACTCTGTTTGTATTTAAAATATTTTCCATATAATTGATTGTCAATTTAATCTTATTTTTGCAGCACCACTGCAGAAACTGTGGAAAAATATTCTGCAACGCTTGTAGCGACAACACGATCGCCCTGCCGAATTCAGCAAAGCCAGTACGAGTCTGCGACGAGTGTCACGTCTTTCTTGTCGGCCGGTACTCAGTTCTCACTCCTTAATACAACGACTGGACAAGGAATTACAAGAATAAATAATTATGAAGATTAAAAATAAATTTTATGAAAATTGGAATATTTTTTTTATCGAATTGACTTTGTAAATCTATTTATCTAAAAAAAAAATAAAAATAAAAATAAAAGCTAAATTGAAAAACAGAACGGATAAAAATCATAAAATTAATTAATTAACCCTCTATTTGATTACTCAAAGTTTATTAATTAAAATAGTTGGCCAGAAAAGTTTTATTTTTGCCTTACACCCGATCGAGCAAATTAAATGATAGTGGGGGCTTAATAGGCACGAGGGGATGATGTAAGTTTAAGTTGAGTTAGGAGTGTGTTAAAGCGTGAAAATAGATAGATTGAGGTGCCCAAAAGAGGGCGGAGGAGCCAAAGTAAAGAGAGGAGGAAAGAGGAAGGAGGCACCAGTGAAGAGTGAAGAGTGAAGGAAATTTATCGTCATGTATCCCTACTCTTATGTAAACTCGTTTGCTCTACTGTCTATGGCTATGACTTCAGAAAGCTCGTTAGCTCCGCGATACGTTAACGAAACCCTTTTGTAAATCAACTACAAATTCACATTGATTATTTAATGTTAGTGCAGTTATACACACCGGACATTTTAAATTACAAAAACTTTATTTTTTTTATAGTTAAATTTGCTCTTTAAAATTTATCTTAAAATTTTTTTCGATCTCTTAAATGTGCCCTTGAAATTTATTTTTAAAATAAATTTTGTTTATTAAAATTGAATATTTGAAAAAAAATTAAGTAAATAATTTTATTTTCTTAATTTGAGTAGGAAAATTCTTAAGCTAAGAAATATTTTTTTAGCTTGTGTAAATTTTATATTATTTAAGAATTTTTTTTGACATTAAAGTTAGCGGTCAATTGACGATTTAAAATTTTTAACAAATAAATTTCTTCAACAAAAATTAATTTTGAAAAATTCTATTTTTTATTTTATAAAAATTTTAAGTGCCAATTTTTTTTGCCATAATCTATATTATTGAGAGAATAAGAAAATTTTGTGGTCAGTGTATTTATATAATAAAATGGGTTTTTATGGTCAAATTTGGTATCATTGAAAAATTCTTAACCTGAAGTTGTGCCTGTTCATGAAAAATGCTCTATCTCTGGATACATAATTAAGAAATGAACTTGTATTTTGTGAACTATTGACATTTTTAAAGATATAAGCTCATCCCGATGTTACTATATCGTTTTTCAAAGATATTAAACAAGGTGAGCTTATACCCTTAAAAATGTCAATAGTTCTCAAGATACAAGGTAATTTCTTAATTACTGGCATTTTTAAAGATATAAGCTCATCTCGCTGTTACCCTCATCAAGAGCCTTCATTTGAGTATCCACATCAATTTTTGATATATTTTTCATTTATACATACATATATATAAATATATAAAATATATGAAAAATTGATGTGGGTACTCAAATGAATGTGGGTACTCAAATAGCTCTTGATAAGAGTAACATCGGGATGAGCTTATATCTTTAAAAATGCCAATGGTTCTCAAGATACGAGGTCATCTCTTAATTACTGACATTTTTAAAGATATAAGCTCATACCGATGTTACACTCATCAAGAGCCTTCATTTGAGTACCCACATGTATTTTTGATATATTTTTCATATATACATATATATGATAAATATAAAATATATAAATATATGAAAAATTGATATAGGTACTCAAATGAAAGGTCTCGATAAATGTATTGTCGGAGTGAGCTTATATCTTTAAAAATGTCAATATTTCACGAGATACAAGGTCATTTCTTAATGATGTATCTAGAGGTAGAGAATATTCAAATGCAGCCCAAATACTTATCATAATAAATTGACTGTCGGTAAGAATGATATAAAACCTTGAAAAGGTACAAATTCAAATCAAAACCTTTTCAATGACACTAAATACTACTAAATATTTATTTAGTGGAAATAAATGGGCTTCAATAAATGATTTAGTATCTATTACAAGTATTTGGTAATGAAAAGTTTGCTTCTAAATTATTTAGTAACTAGTACTAAATCTTATTAAATAGAACTAAATCCTTCTATCAAGATTTTATCAGGTGTTATCAATCACTTGAGATGTCATAGATCATTTCTATAATTAAATTAGATTGAGAGACGAGATTATTATAGGGAATTTCTGACGTGGTCCATTGATCGAGGGTGACTGATGTCATCTGTCTTTCAATCACTCATTTGTTCTTGCTGATTTATTTATATAAATAAATTTTTTTTTTTTTACGATTATTGAGAGCTCCGTCATAGAAAAATTGACAATTGTCGATCAAGATTGAATAATTATTTCTTTAAATCCAAACGTAAATGTAGTACAAAAGTTTATGAATAAATCAACTCGATGACTTTTAAAGGAAATGGAAGAAAGACTATAAAAGTTTGTCACAGCTTTACTCGATACGTGGCACTTTTTTTAAAGTCTAAGAACAAATCAAATATAAATTATTTAAAGCAACAGCTCAATTAAACAATGCTCAATCTTGGCCTCTACATGCGACCTGACCTATATTTTCTATATATACGTATATTAATAAAAATAAAATTATAATATAAATCAAAAATAACAGATCGAAAATTTAAATGATATGAATTTTTGATAAATCGACCGATGTGATAATACCAGTTCAGTTCCCGTTTAAATTTTGATCATCGCAGTACCGCGAACATCATTCTTTGCTGGTTTATTTAAATGTAGAGCATGTTGCGGTTCTAACCAGAATTATGGATTAGATTCACGAGAGTTTTGAGCGATTTTTAGGGTCCATTATCATTATTGTACAATAAAAAAATTGACTTGAATTAAAAAATTCTAGATAATAATTTTTAAGAATTCATCTAATTCACAAATACCATATAGATAAAATATATGAAAAATATTATGTGGGTACTTAAATGAAAGATCTCGAAGAGAGTAACATCGAAATGAGCTTATATTTTTAAAAACGTTAATAATTAAGAAATTACATTGTATCTTGTCAACTAATGATATTTTTAAAGATATAAGCTCACTCCGACAACAGCTACAGGAGGAAATAGCTACAGGAGTAGCTTGGAGGGGGCCTGGTACTGCGAAGTAATGCTAACGCGGTCCCGCAGTATCAGGTACAAGAGAGGGGAGGGTTTTAGTGAGTAAGAATCTCACACTACCGGCAACCAATATCTCCAACATCTAGCCGGTGTCTTATGAAGATTTCCCTCCTCTCGCCCAAAAAAAAAAAAAG